GACTGGTACTGTATATTGAAAGAAATAAGACAGATCCTGCTTCTGTTGCCTGTTTGAGTGTTTGTTTAATAGCCTACTGATTCCGTGAGCACCAAGCCTCACGGAACCACAACAAGTCGGATAAACAATTTCACAAATGTAGCTGTTTTTAACCTTTGCAATGCTTTAATAAAGGCTTTACACTTTTTTTCACCGTTAGAACAGCCTCTGGTATTATTTATAATTTATTCCAAATTGTCAGAAAAATTATAGGTTTATTAATAATAACCCTCCTTTTTCTTGATCTCCTTATTGTTATTATTACTATTATTGTTATAATCATTATTATTATAATAATAAGTAATGTCATTATCATTAGTAGGCTTAGTATAGCAGCCTTGTATAACCACCATCGAGCTGTAAGCCTAAGAGCACATGTTGTTTAGTGTTAATACCGTAACTTACTTAGGTCTATATTAACAAAGCGACACTTGAATAATTAGCGTAAACAATAAATAAACCATTCCATTTCGGAAATTGCATTCACGAATGAACGCGACTGCTTTTAGTCTTGGTTGTTATAAAGGCTTTACAATAAATCAATTTAAAAAACTTACAACAGACTCTCTGGTACACTTGATCTCCAGTATTTTCCACAACTAGTCAAATTTTTCCATACATCAGGCTTCCCCTTTACCTCCTGCGCAACCAGTAAACATTCCCCCGTTTCGAGTGAATTTGTCACGTCCTCTGCATCCATTTTGCTGTCATATGTGTTACGGTGTTTGGAGTTTGTTATAACCAATTTATTGATGTGATTATGATATGCTATAGGTAAGGCACTATTGGTCACGCGCATGCGATGCATACATGTGTCACGTAAAGAGAGCAAGGGTTGAGGGAGTAGGGTTGAGGGATTTTGGTAACAGAACTTTTCAGTCAGAAATGGCTGTAATTATGTTGCATCTTCAGCAACACGGACAGCGCGATAAACACTGTTGATGTTCTGTGGTGGTCGCTGCAGCAGGGAGGAGAGAGAGACAATGGGTACTAGTCACACAGTCACTCGCTGTCATTTTTTTTTACACAGTGTAGCAAGTCTGAGCCCGGCCAAGCACAATCAAATCAATTGCGGTCCGACTCCCTCTAGTCATTTGTGTTTCTTCATTATTTCATCAAACAGTGCGCTTAAAGCATCAGACAAGCTCCGTGCATATCATTTATTTGATTAAAACACATAGGATGTGTCTATATATGGAAAAATACACATTAACAAATTTGGTCGAAAGAACAGACGTCTTTCGGTCAACCAATATTTTTTTAGTAGGGGACAGCCCTACAAGGCGGTAATGAATGTGTCACTGTCTGTCACCTTAATTACTCCAATTTGTCTCTCGAGCCGTGCGCCTACGTTATAAACTTTCATTCGTAGGCTAGGTTGTAGCAACCTCATGATGAGTATAGGGAACATTTTAGTATCATGTAGTAGCCTAAACCTGTCGATGTTACATTGAGCTGGGTGAATGGAATATGAATGACAGTCATCCAATACACTGTATTAGAAATAAGGCCATGTTCATAAAAAAAAAAAATGTCCTCCCTAATCTTAAACGGCACCGACAGCCACTGGTAGAGGGATGATTCTGTCTGTCTGATGCCTGCAAGGCTGTCAATCCTAAACTGAGGATGGGTGCATGATCTCTCTCTCTCTCTCTCTCTCTCTCTCTCTCTCTCTCTCTCTCTCTCTCTATGATCCTCCCTCTCTACTTCCCCTCCTTCCTGTCTCTGTCTGTCTCTCTTCCTGTCTCTGTCTGTCTCTCTTCCTGTCTCTGTCTGTCTCTCTTCCTGTCTCTTCCTGTCTCTGTCTGTCTCTCTTCCTGTCTCTATCTGTCTCTCTTCCTGTCTCTGTCTGTCTCTCTTCCTGTCTCTGTCTGCCATTGTCTTTTTACATGTTTGTGTCTCCCTCTTTCGTCTGCTCTTCTCCTGTCTGACCTGACCTCTCACCTTCTCCACCACTGTCTTACTCTCTCACTGGAGTAGACTCAGTAAAAAACGAATAGATGAGATGTCGATTTTCCCTGTGTTTCAGTGTAAGCTTTGGTAGTCTAATAATATAGTGATAAGGCTTTATGATACGTGTATGCTATACTCATCTGGTATTCCCCATAACCTGAAATGTAATTAAAGATAATCGAGATAGTACGCTCCCAAGAGATAACTGACGAGGAATGTCTATTATCATTTTGCATACAGTATAAATTATAGTGTTTGATATGCTGGTATGCTTTTAAACTGCATTCATTGTAATGGAAATTGGTCTGGTTTTAACCCTGCTTCCCCAATAGATAAAATTAACAAACAAATTAAGCAAATGCACCTGTGCTCATGTTGAGCTTTGAAAACAAAATGCCTACAATACTAATAGCGCTATTACACACAGTTAATAAAAACAATTTCATCCTGCATAAACAGACAACATGGATGTCACTAGTTGTTTTTTCTCACAGGAGGCATGATCAGTCCTCAGCAGAGGAGGGAGAGAGGGAGAATGCAATTACCCGTCTGATTGATAGATGATATGCTGTCCGTCAAACTGCGTCAGCTAGCACAGACCCATTAGAGGAGAGGAAGGAGGGAGGGAAGGAGGGAGAGGGAGTTAGAGAAAGGAGGATGGAGAGAAAGGAGAAGGATGGAGGGAGGGAAAGCAGAGGGATGGAGGGAGGAGAGCCCCACTGCCACACAGGGAGTTAGCTATGCAAACAGCAGATGGCTATATGATACTGTAAGTATGGATTTTCCTGTACTCTGTCTTTGCTGTAGACAGCAGAGCTGGCTAAAGAGCAACTGGAGAATTAAGAAGTCATCTCTCGCTCAACACCCAATCTATCAACCCTCCTTCCCTTCCGGAATGTGATAGAGAAGAACAACATGGCAGATTCCAATCAATATCAATTGAAAAGTCAGAGATCAGTTTGTCATGCATTAATTGCATTAAGATCAGATTGTCATGGATGTACTGTACTGTATATTTGTAAGTCGCTCTGGATAAGAGTGTCTGCTAAATGACGTAAATGTAAATGTAAATGTAATGTAAATGTATATGAGAACATGAGGCCCATTTGTGGAGCACTTTAAAGATGATCTATACATGTAGATAATGTGATAATCAACAACATTATTTGTTTTATTATTTATTTATTTATCACACTGCAAGTCTCTTGACATGTAGCTTTATAACTAATGAGGTGTGGTGGTCTTACTGGCGCTTTTACAGTCGCCGAAGCATCACCCAGGTGGGTGCTACATTTCAGTTGTGGACGGTCCAGCCTACCTATGGAGGAAGAGGAGCTGTAACTATAGAAGACGATGAGGTGCCGGATGAAGAGCTCTGTGGCCTATGTGTCAGATGTCTCTACCTCTGTCAGTCAGATGTCTCTACCTCTCTGTCTGTCAGATGTCTCTACCTCTCTGTCTGTCAGATGTCTCTACCTCTCTGTCTGTCAGATGTCTCTACCTCTCTGTCTGTCAGATGTCTCTACCTCTCTGTCTGTCAGATGTCTCTACCTCTCTGTCTGTCAGATGTCTCTACCTCTCTGTCTGTCAGATGTCTCTACCTCTCTGTCTGTCAGATGTCTCTACCTCTCTGTCTGTCAGATGTCTCTACCTCTCTGTCTGTCAGATGTCTCTACCTCTCTGTCTGTCAGATGTCTCTACCTCTCTGTCTGTCAGATGTCTCTACCTCTCTGTCTGTCAGATGTCTCTACCTCTCTGTCTGTCAGATGTCTCTACCTCTCTGTCTGTCAGATGTCTCTACCTCTCTGTCTGTCAGATGTCTCTACCTCTCTGTCTGTCAGATGTCTCTACCTCTCTGTCTGTCAGATGTCTCTACCTCTCTGTCTGTCAGATGTCTCTACCTCTCTGTCTGTCAGGTCAGATGTCTCTACCTCTCTGTCTGTCAGATGTCTCTACCTCTCTGTCTGTCAGATGTCTCTACCTCTCTGTCTGTCAGATGTCTCTACCTCTCTGTCTGTCAGATGTCTCTACCTCTCTGTCTGTCAGATGTCTCTACCTCTCTGTCTGTCAGATGTCTCTACCTCCCTGTCTGTCAGATGTCTCTACCTCTCTGTCTGTCAGATATCTCTACCTCCCTGTCTGGCTGTACCATCTATGCTCCCTCCTCTCAAGATACTACCTTTCTGAACTGTCTATCATCTACATCTGTGGAAGACCATCACCCAAGAATGGCCAGATCCCTACATTTGTTTTGTTGAATAGATTTTTGTTTATTTTGTTTTTAAAATGACTTTGAGATTCTACTTGTAATGACAAGCGCTATATAAAAGAAATCTATTATTATTATTATTAATGCATGCAATAGATAAGAACACCAACTATCTTCAGCCATCCTAGCTGTAAACTGAGTTGTTGCAGTTGCCATCGCTATTAATAATCTGCAATTGTGTCCTCCTCTCAAATATGAGAAGAGATTGAATAGACTGGTTGTTTTGTGGCATCACTTTTCACTCCTATTTTGAGTTCAGTACAAGTTGGACAGTGTCATTATTGTGGACCAACAGCCGTACCAGGCACTGTTAAATTAGCAAAATCAGTCTACTGAAGTCGTTTTTTCTTCTGTGTGCCTTTTCAGTAAAATAGCCTAAACAGTGTCTGGTTTAGAGAGGGGAGACGAGGATGAGGTCGAGGGACATTGGAAATGGTGCCTAGGGACAGTGAAATGTCATGGGACCTCTGGATTCAGTTGAAAGAAAGATAAAGTGACAGATCGACGGGATGGATGGATACGAAGACAGACAGTAAAGAGCTAAAAAGAAAAAAGAGCCCAGCTGAAGAGCAGATTGATCGTACTTGCTTTCCAGGATTTTTCTTACACAAAGGAGAGTATTTTCTCTCTCATTTCATCTGTCATTTAAAAGGAACTCCCTTGCCTAGTGGCTAAGTGATTGGATAACTAGCTAGATACTTAGCTAACTGGACAATTTTTCTGCTCAGTTATAAGGATAATGTGCAGTGATGCGTGTCACATTACCTCCCCTCTCACTGAGAGGGCAGTGGAGGGGTTGGAGGGACGGAGTGATGGAGGGGGTGGAGGACGGGAGCAGAGAGGAGCCACTGTAAAGGTCAGGGGTCAATCAGTGGCCCTTCCTTTCTCGTTTTCTCTTTCTTTTTACATCATTTTCCAAGAGGGAGATGGGCGTGTTAGTTGTGTTTATAGACAATGCTTGCTAGGACTGTGGCCTAGTACTGCTTATAGCTTAGTTTAAGGATTTTATTTTGCGGTTGTTCCTCATGTTCTCTGTAGAAAAGTAAAGTAGGGCAATAACCAAAACACTTGATCTACATAGAGAACCAGACAAAGGGGACAAAGCACCTACTTTTCCATTCCATTAGCTTCAACCTGCTAAGACAACAGGGGCAGGTAGAGAAATAGCCTGTTCGTGTAGTTTGTGTATGGAGATAATTACAGACAAGCTAAAGGTTGTTTCCCTCAGTCACTTATTATACTCAAACAGAAATCCAGAGACTCTAGTTATAGGCTGCCGGTTCTACTGATCGATCTCTATAAAGACTGTGGGTTTGAAACATTCTCCCTGGGTGTTTAAAGTAATACATCTGATGCTGTTATGCCAGTCTTTGAAAACAAATGAATACACAGCAAGTGACTACAGTATTAGCACCAGCTTTGAACTGCACTAAGAGGTACAGTACAGCGTTAAAGAGACTACCAGTTATTTTGAACTTGAACTGAACTTGTTCCAGAATATTAAAATAAAAAATCTCTCCCTGGAATAATAATGATAAGCACTGTGGATTTACAACAGCAGTCTGAGTGTCAGTATCAAAAGCTGTAGACCCTATAGGCAGCTATCCAAGACAAAGAATCACCCATGAATGATGGATATATACATTTCTATTGCGGAATCTGTAACGCTTCAGCGTATGCTCAACATATTCCTCCTTTCTAAATTAGAGTGCCTGATCCTTGGCAGTTGAAGGTTTGTAAAAAAGAAAGAAAAGATAAATTACAGGATATCCAACTGAAAAGAGAAACATTACCATCTAGCTAAATCTATTCCTCTGATATGTGAGGCCAATCATGATGTTGGAGCCAGTCTAGCGTTAGCAGCAGTGCATAGAGCACCTCCTCCACAGTGAGTGACACTCCTTAGGGAGAAGCAATAGCAGGAGGGTTAATGGGTACAGCTCAGAGGAGGATCTATCTAGAATATGAAATATGTATGGATGAATCGGCCCTGCAGCCAGAACCTACTGCAGTATGGAACCCCCAGAGACCAGACACTATCTCTCGCTCTTTCTGAGATAATCACATGACTCTTGTATTCTCTATATACCAGCAGAGCAGCAGATTCCCCCACCCAGCCCTCAACCTCCAACTGAGCATGCACTGTATTTCTGTTTTTCTATTCTGTTGGAATCCGGTTGTTAGTGTTACAAACCATGGGCTGGTTTTCCAATAGCGATAGAACTTAAGCTTTTACGTGTGTTATCATGTTACGATATGTGATAGAATCAAGCACAGCTTTTGTAAATTATGAGGAACATAAAGGCCAGTCTCTTCAGTTAAGTCATGTAGCAGTATAGCCACAATGAGTGAAAGGAGGAGGAGGAGACCGAGAGCAAGATGGATTGTGATGCCACTCAGGTGATTAAAGGAAGGAATCTCAACTACTATAGGTGAATGATGAGTCTGTGGTTGCCATCTCAGTGTATTGGTGCCACCTGGACCAGAGGAGCACAGACAAAGGGCAGAAGCACACAATCAAATTAAATATAGACAACATGTCAGTTTTGTATTAATGTTATATTCCCATGCTGCTCTTGTTATATTCACTTCTTGCTCTTGACTGGGTAGTTATCAGGAAGCACAGGTCCTGTTTTATCATGAAATTGTGAACTATTATCAGCTCTGCCTTAAGAACACTGAACACCCAGTTGGTTCTTAAGATATAATAATGGTGAAGGAAAGGATTAAGATAAAGCAAGCTGCTGAAAGATTCCCACTGGGCACAGACATCAGTTCAACGTCTATTCAACATACACTGAACAAAAATATAAACGCAACATGTAAAGTGCTGGTCCCATGTTTCATGAGCTGAAATAAAAGATCCCAGAAATTGTCCATAAGCACAAAAACCTTATTTCTCTCAAATGTTGTGCACACATTTGTTTACATCCCTGTTAGTGAGCATTTTCTCCTTTGCCAAGATAATACATCCACCTGACAGGTGTGGCATATCAAGAAGCTGATTAAACAGCATGATCATTACACAGATGCACCTTGTGCTGGGGACAATAAAAGGCCACTTTAAAATGTGCAGATGTCTCAAGTTTTGAGAGAGCGTGTAATAGGAATGCTGACTGCAAGAATGTCCACCAGAGATGTTGCCAGAGATCTGTACACAATATCTGGAAGCTGAAAATGTCCCAGTTCTTCCATGGACTGCATACTCACCAGACATGTCACCCATTGAGCATGTTTGGGATGCTCTGGATTGACGTGTATGACAGCATGTTCCAGTTCCTGCCAATATACAGCAACTTCGCAAAGCCATTGAAGAGGCGTGGGACAACATTCCTAAGGGCCACAATCAACAGCCTGATCAACTCTATGCGAAGGAGTTGTGTCGCGCTGCATGAGGCAAATGGTGGTCACACTAGACACTGACTGGTTTTCTGATCCACGCCCTTACCTTTTTTTAAAGGTATCTGTGACCAACAGATGCATATCTGTATTCCCAGTCATGTGAAATCCATAGATTTATTTAAATTTACTGATTTCCTTATATGAACTGAAACTCAGTAAAATCTTAGAAATTGTTGCATGTTGCGTTTATATTTTTGTTCAGTGTAATTTCATTGAAATGACGTGGAAACAACGTTGATTCAACCAGTGTGTGCCCAGTGGGCTTCTTGTGTAGTTAGATTCTGGGTAGCTGGGCTGACTCAGATCCAACCATTTCACAGGCATATTGGACAGGCAGTGATAAAGGCACCTCTTTGGAGAGGACATCAACATTTATATAGTCACATTAACACTGTCAGAAACATCCATATCTGAACAGTTTGATTAATAATATGTAGCCAGAGAGAGAGAGAGAGAGAGAGAGAGCGAGAGCGCGAGAGAGAGGGAGAGGGAGAGAAATGAGATTCCACAAAAAATGATTAACGATTGCCTTTTTGATATTAAAGGAGAGAATTATGAAGTTGGAGTTACATGATTAATTAATTTAATGAAGAAACACTGGAGTCATTAGATACAACTGAAACTAAGAGAGTACAAAGAGATGGTTCTTTCTCACTGATTCCCTGGTTGACTTGGGAGTGGCTGGGGGTAACTGGGGGTGGTGGGTGGGTCGTTGGTGACAGGGTGTGGGGGTAATTGGCTGTGTGCATCCTTGATAAGTGAGTAAAGGAGACTACTAAAATGATATATCTTCTCTGGTGGGCAGACATGCCAGACTGGCCTGACAGGGCAAAGGAAGAAATGATCTGCTGCAGCTGTAGCCTCTGTTTAATAGGGCCATATAAAGTTTGGGGCTATTTGAAGGGATAGTTTGGGATTTTTGCAGTGAGGCCCTTTACTTCCCGAGAGCCAGATAAACTCGTAGATACCATTTTTATGTATCTGCAACGCCAGTTAGCAATTTCACTAACACTAGTTAGCAACTTCCTTCAAACTGCACGCAGATACCGGTGCCGACAAGTTGAAAAATCTGTCGATGTGACCTTGAGCAAGGCACTTAACCCTAATTTGCTCCAGGGACACCGTACTACTATGGCTGACCCTGTAAAACAACACATTTCACTGCACCTATCCAGTGTATGTGACAATACAATTAAAAAAAAAAAAATGGTATCCACCAGTTCTTCTGACTCTGGGGCAATAGATAAAGGGCCTCATTGCCAAAATCACAAACTATCCCTTTAAAACATGCTTTTACAAGCACCCACTATCAGAAAATACAAACAAGCAGAAATAATTTCAGTATTTAATTTATATTTTAGATTCATCTAGACATTGTGTTGATAGTTTTATTTCCACAACACACATTGATTGAGTTGTTCCGTATCCCTGTGTTGTTTTCAGGGCAGAGAATTCTTCACCACAAAAGCAGCGTTCTCGAGACAGTAGTGCTGATCAACCCCTCAGATGAAGCTGTCAGCACTGAGGTAAGTACATTGCATTCAAACACACCTGGGCTGCGTTCAGTAGGGCACATTGTAGCAAAAGGCTTTGCAACAGAACAAAATAAAAAATGTTCTTATAGAACAAGTTCAGGTTAGCACCTCACCGTTTCAGAACATTTCAAAGCTCTTCAAAACGTTTTTCCTTTACTGAACACCACCCTGGAAAGATGGAATGCTTTCAGTGGTCTCATTGGTATTTTCTATACTCCTTTATTGAGACACTTCGACTCTTGATCTCTTTGTTCCTCTCAACCTCCTTCCTTCTCTCACACCACAAGAATGCGTACACAGGGGGCCTCCCGAGTGGCGCAGTGGTCCCGAGTGGCGCAGTGCCACTAAAGATCCTGGTTCAAGTCCAGGCTCTGTCGCAGCCGGCCGCGACCGGGAGACCCATGGGAGCGGCGCACAACCGGCCCAGCGTCGTCCAGGGTAGGGGAGGGTTTGGCCGGCAGGGATGTTCTTGTCCCATCGCACACTAGCAACTCCTGTGGTGGGCTGGGCGCAGTGCACGCTGACTCGGGTGTACAGTGTTTCCTCTGACACATTGGTGCGGCTGGCTTCCGGGTTAAGCGGGCACTGTGTCAAGAAGCAGTGCGGCTCGGTTGGGTTGTGTTTCGGAGGATGCACGATTCTCGAGCTCTCGACTCTCGAGCTCTCCTGTGTCCGTATGGGAGTTGCAGCGGTGGGACAAGACTGTAACTACCAATTGGATACCACGAAATTGGGGAGAAAAAGGGGGTAAAATACCAACAAAAAAAAGAATGCGGACACAAACATACTCTTGACTCCCATACATAGAAGACATCTTCATAGACATACACACATTTCAAAGCAACTGCAACTTGAAATGGGTGACTGCTTGGCACACTTAATTGGCCAATTATCCTCCCCAGTCCTTTGTTTGCTGCTACTCTGCTATGTGAACTAGAATAGAACCATCACAATAAGAAGCTCTGGGGACGAAGACTACTGCCTTGGTTACAGCTAAAGCTAAGACAACAAAGACAACAACCCTTGGTTTACTCAACAAACAGATAGGTTCTGAGATTCTAGCCTGGAATCTAAACTAAATACTGACTGAATAGTGAAACATGAGCAAAACAGAATTCTATTATTTTTGGGATTCTAGGTTACTGTTTTGTCCCTATATATTTTTACTTTGCAGTGCAGCATTTTACTAAGTGAATTCACCCAAATTACTAGAAGGTTCTAAATTGAAAAGAGAAACAGAAGCATGTTACACAAGGGCAGATCTGTCGATCCTTTCTTTCACTCTTCCAGCTTCCCTTCCTGCCTGGCGGTGTCTGCAATCAAACTGTGCATTAATAATATCTCACAGCACTGCAGGTTTGACCCTGGCTAGCATTCCGGAAAAGTCCATGCCTGTGAAGAGGAAAAAAGGCAGAGGTTGGGCACTAGAGAGAGAGAGAAAGAAAGAAAGAGAGCGAGCGAGCGAGAGCAACTCCACTAATAATCTAAGGGATTTGAAGTAAAATGAAGTAAAATGGGTGATATTTCTAATCAAGACTGTCAGCAGTAAAAGGCTAAGTGAACATTGATATAAAATCAAATCATATCAAATGTTATTTGTCACATACATGTGTTTAGCAGATGTTATTAGGCGTGTAGCGAAATGCTTGTGCTTCTAGCTCCGACAGTGCAGTAATATCTAACAATTTCACAACATATACCCAATACACACAAATCTAGTAAGGAATGGAATTTACGAATATATACATATATGGACGAGCAATGACAGAGCGACATGGACTAAGATACAGTAGAATATTATAGAATAGAATACAGTATATACATATGAGATGAGTAGTGAAAGATATGTAAACATTATTAAAGTGACTAGTGTTCCATTTCTTAAAGTGGCCAGTGATTTCAATAGGCAGCAGCAGCCTCTAATGTGCTAGTGATGGCTATTTAACAGTCTGGTGGCCTTGAGATAGAAGCTGTTTTTCATTCTCTCTGTCCCAGCTTTGATGCACCTGTACTGACCTCGCCTTCTGGATGATAGCGGGGTGAACAGGCAGTGGCTTGGGTGGTTGGTGTCCTTGATTATCTTTTTGGCCTTCCTGTGACATCGGGTGCTGTAGGTGTCTTGGAGGGCGGGTAGTTTGCCCCCTGGTAATGCGTTCGGCAGACCGCACAACCCTCTGGAGAGCCCTGCGGTTGCGGGCGGTGCAGTTGCCGTACCAGGCAGTGATACAGCCCGACAGGATGCTCTCAATTGTGCATCTGTAAAAGTTTGTGAGGGTTTTAGGTGTCAAGCCAAATTTCTTCAGCCTCCTGAGGTTGAAGAGGCTCTGTTGCGCCTTCTTCACCACACTGTTTGCATGGGTGGACCATTTCAGTTTGTCAGTGATGTGTACGCCAAGGAACTTTAAGCTTTCTACCTTCTCCACTGCGGTCCCGTCGATGTGGATAGGGGGGTGCACCCTCTGCTGTTTCCTGAAGTCCACGATCATCTCCTTTGTTTTGTTGACGTTGAGTGAGAGGTTATTTTCCTGGCACCACACTTACAGAGCCCTCACCTCCTCCCTGTAGGCGGTCTCGTCATTGTTGGTAATCAAGCCTACTACTGTTGTGTCATCTGCAAACTTGATGATTGAGTTGGAGGCGTGCTTGGCCACGCAGTCATGGGTGAACAGGGAGTACAGGAGGGGGCTGAGCACGCACCCTTGTGGGGCTCCAGTGTTGAGGATCAGCGATGTTGTTTCCGACCTTCACCACCTGGGGGCGGCCCGTCAGAAAGTCCAGGACCCAGTTGCACAGGGCGGGGTTCAGACCCAGGGCCTCAAGCTTAATGATGAGCTTGGAGGGTACTATGGTGTTGAATGCTGAGCTATAGTCAATGAACAGCATTCTTACATAGGTATTCCTCTTGTTCAGATGGGATAGGGCAGTGTGCAGTGTGATGGCGATTGCATCGTCTGTGGATCTATTGGGGCGTTAAGCAAATTGAAGTGGGTCTAGGGTGACAGGTAAGGTAGGGGTGATATGAACCTTGACTAGTCTCTCAAAGCACTTCATGATGACAGAGGTGAGTGCTATGGGGCGATAGTCATTTAGTTCAGTTACCTTTGCTTTCTTGGGTACAGGAACAATGGTGGCCATCTTGAAGCATGTGGGAACAGCAGACTGGGAAAGTGAGAGATTGAATATGTCCGTAAACACACCAGACAACTGGTCTGCGCATGCTCTGAGGACACGGCTAGGGATGCCGTCTGGGCCAGCAGCCTTGGGGAGGTTAACATGCTTAAATGTCTTACTCACGTCAGCCACGGAGAAGGAGAGGCCACAGTCCTTGGTAGTGGGCCTCGTCGGGTGGCACTGTGTTATCCTCAAAGCGGGCGAAGAAGGTGTTTAGCTTGTCTGGAAGCGAGACGTCGGTGTCGGCGACGTGGCTGGTTTTCCTTTTGTAGTCCGTGATTGTCTGTAGACCCTGCCAAATATGATAAATTCACTTTGAAATGGACTATAAGGATTAAAGACATAAAGTACAACATGACACTTGAGGGATAGTCATACAACCCCTTTTCATTTACCATTGCATCAGATTATTTTTACAGCTAACAGCATTTTCCAAGCTCACTAAAGATTGTCTCTGAGCATAAACTTTTTATTTGATATATTAGTTATTATTATTAAAAAAAAAAAAAAATTGTCATTTAGCAGATGCTCTTATCCAGAGCAACTTACAGTAAAGTGCATACATTTTTTGTACTGGACCCCCGTGGGAATCAAACCCACAACCCTGGCATTGAAAGTGCCATGCTCTACCAACTGAGCCACACGTGACTGTGATTGCAAAATAAATTCATGCCACAATTGCAATGAAACTCCAATGATACAGACGTCTTTCATTCTGACATGTTTGCTCCCTTTTTTCTGCATAGGTTTGTCAGATGATCTCAGACACAGCCAGAAACAAGCTGCTAGTGCTTTCAGGACAATGCTTTGAAAACACAGGAGCGCTGATTCTGCAGTCTGGCTCCTTCTCTTTCTTCAACTTCATAGATATATTCACAGACCAAGAGGTGAGTCAAATTGAGCAAATCGTTTGCTAAGCAATTACTGTTTAATTATAATTGTATAGTTTGCAGTACTACTCATGATCTGCTGAAGTTTACTGACCTCTCAATTAGCAAACCTCCTGATTACATCTGATTGAATACAATACATCTGATATCTGTCATAATTGTGAATATGTTCTGTTTGATCTCACAGTCTCATGATTTTAATCTCAGGTCTCCAAATCTCTCTCTCTCTCTTTTGCCCAGATTGGTGAATTACTTAGCACTATTCACCCAGCAAACAAAGCAAGCCTAACCCTCTATTGCCCTGAGCAAGGCGACTGGAAAAACTCAAACCTGGACAAACACAACCTACAAGACTTCATCAACATGAAGCTCAACTCACCACTGATACTCCCAGAGATGGAAGGTCTCTCAGAGTTCACAGAATACCTGTCGGAGTCAGTAGAAATCCCATCGCCATTTGACATGCTGGAGCCTCCGACCTCTGGCGGTTTCCTGAAGCTCTCAAAACCATGCTGCTACATTTTTCCCGGCGGCCACGGCGACTCTGCCCTCTTTGCGGTGAATGGGTTCAACATGCTTATCAACGGGGGCTCTGACCGCAAGTCCTGTTTCTGGAAGCTGGTGAGACACCTAGACCGGGTAGACTCCATCCTCCTGACCCATATCGGGGACGACAACCTGCCAGGCATCAACAGTATGCTCCAGAGGAAGATGGCTGAGCTGGAGGAAGAGCAGTCACAGGGTTCCCAAGCTACTGGCGACTGGTTGAAGAACCTCATATCCCCAGACATTGGGGTTGTGTTCTTGAACACCCCTGAGAATCTGGGGAACCCTGCTGAACCCAACTTCAGGGTGAGGAGGAACATTGAAGAGGCGGCACACACTCTCCATTACCTGAGCAAGCTGAATCTGAGGCCCGAGCCTCTGCAGAGGCCGGTCGGGAACACTATCGAACCCATCATTCTGTTTCAGAAGATGGGTGTGGGGAAGCTTGAGATGTATGTGTTGAACCCGTCGAAGAACAGCAAGGAGCTGCAGCACTTTATGAAGCAGTGGACAGGCACCGAGAAAGACAAAGCCTCTGTTACTCTGCCCAATGGAAAAGAATCTGAGCTCCCAATTTCTTATATGACCTCAATCTCTTCCTTGATTGTGTGGCACCCATCGAACCCTTCAGAGAAGATAGTACGTGTCCTGTTTCCAGGCAATGCCACTCAGTATCACATCCTTGAAGGTTTGGAAAAACTAAAACACTTGGACTTCTTGAAGCAGCCAGTTGTCACCCAGAAGGAGCTATCTTCTAACTTGGCACCAGCTTTAAAGCAAGCAAAGCTGAAACATAAAACGGACAGCAAGGAGAGTCTGAAGTCAGTCTCTAGGCCATCACCAAGCAAAAGTTTCAAGAAGGAGTCAAAGGAGGAGGCTCCAGAGAAGGCAAAGACAGATGCAGAATCGGCTCAAGAAAAGACTAAAACATTTGAGAAAAAAGAGAAACCTTTGGTGAAAAAGGAAAAAGCGAAGGCACCGGAAAAAGAAGTGAAGGTGAAAGCAGAGCCAACTTCTGAAACTCCAGAAAAGAAGAAGGCTGAAATGAAACCAAAAGCTCTCACGGAGAAGATTATCAAAAAAGAACCCAGGAAGTCTGTAGAAAAGAAAAATGATGAAAAGGAGGTAAAGAAAGAAATAGCGAAGAAAGATGACAAGCTAACATCTAAAAAGGAAGAAACACCCAAAAAGGAACAGAAGCAAGAAACACCCAAAAAGGAACAAAAGATAAAGAAAGACATTTTAAAGAAAGACAGAGATTTCAGGAGGGATTCCCCCATGAAGGTGAGGAAGGAAGAGAAAAAGGAGCAAAAGAAAGACGATCTAAAGAAAGACATGAAGAAGCCGTCCAAGGATGTAAAAAATACTCCATCTGCTTTAGGCGAAGGAAAAAAACTTGCACCAAAACCAAAACCTCTGAAAAAAGGTGACACTACAAAGAAAGACTTTGGAAGCCCTTTCAAGTCCAAGGCAAAACCAAAAGTCACCAAGAAGGACCCCAAGGCCACGGATGCTAAATCTGCTGTTGCAGGAGCTGCAGCTGTCACAGCAGGAGTGGTAGCCACCGCCACTTGTGCTGCGGAGGTCCTTGAGACAGAAAGAGCCATGATGTCTTCTCCAGAGGACCTCACTAAGGACTTTGAAGAGCTCAAAGAAGAGGAGATCTTTCAGGAAGAAGAGCCAGTGGTGATCCTCAGAGAGGACCTCATGCACTCTAAGGAGTCCCCTGAAGCAGCAGAGTCTCTGGATGAGGGGATCACAACCACTGAGCATGAAGGAGAAAGCGGGGAGACTCCAGAGGAACAGGAGCATAAAGGGAAGTTGAGCGGCAGCGGCAGTGAGAAGTTTGAAGATGAGGGAACTGGGCTAGATTACGAAGAGAAGGGAGAGACAGAAGAGGTCCATGAGCCAATGAGAAGGGAAATGGACAACCATAAACATGCTGATGACAGTGAAGAAGAGGACTCTGAGGACGAGGATGCAGAGGCAGACCAATGTGGAAAAGATCATAACAGAAATGAAAGAGAAGTACAGAAGTGGGGCATGTCTGTGACACCCCCTCCCAAAACGTCTCCGGCTGCATCTATTCATGATGAGACCCTTCCAGCTGGCTCTGATGATGAAGTAGCCTCAGATGATGAGAACCGTGACGAGGCATACACTGCTACATCTGGCCACACACAGTCAACTATTGAGATCTCCAGTGTGCCTACTCCAATGGACGAAATGTCCACTCCAAGGGACATTATGAGTGACGAGACCACTAACGATGAGACAGAGGATTCTCCCTCTCAGGACTTTGCCAGGTTTGGAGGAACCGTGTTAGGAGACTTTGAGAGGAAGAGGCTGTCTCCGCTACACGACGGCCCAGAGTCAGACCATTCAAAGAGCGATGCCACCGAAGGCAGGGACTACAACGCTTCTGCGTCCACAATATCTCCACCATCGTCACTGGAAGAGGACAAAGAGGAAGGGTTCAAGTCAGACAAATTTGGTCTTGATTCAGCAAGCTCTGTACTCACCACTACTTCACCTCTCATACGATCCCCTTCAGCTCCCAAAGGAACCTTTGACTCATACTCATCTGGATTCGTGGCACCAATTGAACTGTGCACAATGCTTTCAGGATCATCAAAGGCAGCAGCTGGGTCTTCTACTAGCCCAGATGACAAGACATTGGAAGGTACCACCTCACCTCATTCCTCTGGTCACACCCCTTACTTTCAGTCTCCCGTGGATGAGAAGGCTGGCTCTATACCACCTGCAAATGACCATGGTCCTGTAATTGTAGAGGTTACAAGTGACAAAGAAGATTCCAACAGGGTCAGCCCCATGGACGACCCAATTCCTGACCACACCTCGCCTGTAGAGAAGGTGCTGTCCCCAATGAAGAGCCCGCCGCCTGTAGGAGAAGGAAAGCCACTCTTTGATTTAGATCATATGTCAACAATGCACTCGAGTCAAGATGAGAAGAAAAATGGGGCTAGCGACAGTACCTCAATCTCATCCACAAACCCCTTCGCAGGTTTCAAAGAGGAGAGTAAAATGTCGATCTCGGAGGGAACCACGTCTGATAAATCGGGTAGCCCTGTAGATGAGGCTGTAGCAGAGGACACTTTTTCACATATTGCCTCAGCTTCCACCGCCTCACTGGCCACCAGCTCATTCCCAGAGCCCACGACAGATGACGCTTCCCCTGCTCTCCATGCTGAAGCCGGCTCCCCTCAATCAACAGAGGTGGAGGACTCCCTATCTGTCTCTGTGGTTCAGACTCCAACCCCTTTTCAGGAGGCAGAGGTCTCACCCAAGGGGGACAGCCCCAGGCCCATGTCAATCTCTCCAGACATCTCACCAAAGACAGCCAAATTAAGGACACCAGTGCAGGAGCCTAAATCCCCAGAGCATTCCACCATGTCATTTGGCCAGGAGTCCCCTGATCACTCGTTAGCCCTAGATTTCAGCAAACAGTCTCCAGAGCACCCCTCTGCGGGCAGCCTGCGCGCCACGGAGAACGGGCCAACAGAGGTAGACTACAGCCCCTCAGAGGGGAATGATCTGAGATCCTCCGAGCAGTACAGACCCACTGTGGACAAGCCTATGCTCTTCAAAGACAATGACTCAGGTCGCGCCACCTCTGCGTCCCCATCAGACGCATCTCAGTCCACCCCCTCGACAACTACGCCTTGTCAGATGAGGGAAATGTCACCGGGCTTAGCCCAGCAGATGGACAAATCCCCTGCCACCCCGAAAGGGTCTTCCCCCTCTTCCCCTTCCTATTCTTGCTTCACTCAGAAAACAGATATGTCCTTAGCAGCAGAGACTAATCCCTTCAAATGTGGTGGCGATTCCAAATCCCCTGTCAGCCCCAAGGTTCCCTCCCCATCCTACCTACCACTCTCTTTCAACCTCTCCGACTATCAGAAGTGTGCAGGTGGTTCCAGGGACCCAGACTCCTCCAAGAAGAGCCCCTCTCCTGGGTCTAGGACAGATGTTGACCTTTGCCTTGTGACCTCTTGTGAGTACCGCCACCCTAAGACAGAGCTGTCCCCGTCCTTCATCAACCCCAGTCCTTTGGAGTACTTCATGAACGAGGAGAACCCTCTGGAGGAAGAAAAGCCTCTGGCTAAGTCAGGTGGAGGACCTCCACCCCCTGGTGGTAAACTCCACGCTAAGCAATGTGAAGAGACCCCACCAACCTCCATCAGTGAATCTGCCCCCTCCCAGACGGATTCGGATGTTCCCCCTGGGACAGAGGAGTGTCCCTCTATTACTGCGGACGCAAACATAGACTCTGAGGATGATTCTGAGACACTACCAACAGACAGGACCCTGACTTACAGACATGCTGATCCTCCTCCTGTGGCTCCCAGAGACTGTGCTCCGTCTCCAGCCCACCCAGATGTCACCATGGTGGATCCGGAGGCTGACAAGCCCCCCGCTGACGACAACAACCAGACCAAGGACAAGGACTCAAAGGCAGAGGGAGCTGAGAAGGCTAAGAAGAAGAAGCTCACCAAGACCAAGTCCTCCTCACCAGCCAGAAAGACTGGACTTTCAAAAGTAAAGGATTCAAAAGTAATGGCCTCTCCTAAGAAGAGTGTGGGAGAAGGGAAAGATGCCAAAAATGCAACCAATAGCTCTGCATCCAGGGGTGTGAAAAGTGCCACAGCAGGTAAGACTCATATTTTTTTACTCGGTCATGAGTCTAGAAGCTTTGGTTAGTTTTCTGATGAAATACGTTTAAGGTTTAAGCTCAGTTTGCCTCAGTATAGAATCACATGTTTTTCATCCATTATGTACATTGCTTTTCTAACAAAGCTGCATCTCTGTCTCAGGTTCAGGCAGTGGAAAGGCAGCAGCTGCAATACCCGTACCCAACTGCCCTCCCATGTACATGGACTTGGTTTACATCCCAAACCACTGCAGCGCCAAGAATGTGGATGCAGAGTTCTTCAAACGGGTCAGGTCCTCCTACTATGTAGCAAGTGGCAACGACCAGACGGCCCAGGAGCCCAGCAAAGCTGTCCTGGACTCCCTGCTGGTGGGCAAAGCCACGTGGGGAAACAACATGCAGGTACAGTGAGACAGTCAACTTTTATCAGAATAACCGTGTTATAATCCCATAGTATCAGAAAGAGAGGCACCATAGAGACAATAGACAAGACTTAAATAGTATACATTGAGAATATACTGTCAGAACCTTTTTAGCTTCTTAGAGCTGAACAAAATTAAGCTAATATGCTCAGAGTTTTATGAAACAATAGTATGCAAACCCTAACCCTTCTTCCCTGTTGGCAGGTGACCCTGATCCCGACTCATGATTCAGAGGTGATGAGGGAGTGGTACCAGGAGACCCATGAGAAGCAGCAGGACCTGAACATCATGGTGCTGGCCTCCAGCTCCACCGTGGTCATGCAGGATGAGTCCTTCCCCGCCTGCAAGATAGAGCTGTGAACCTGATCCTGGGCTTCGTTCCATTCCAAATTATGCTTCTCTTCTTCCCTTAACTTCTCCCTTCACTGGAGTGTGCACTCCATTGACGTTCCAAGACGTTTCTGCAAGGGAGCACCTTCTGAGCGAGGGGACTGATGGAGGGAAGGGGTCTTAGTAATTTGGATTGGAACAACCCTTTGGACTCTTCTGATCAAATGATCTAGTAACCGAGAGATCTAGTGATCAAGTGGATCATGTTGTTAGTGGTATCTTTGTGTTGGGGTGAGGGATGACGTAGACATAGAGTAAATGTAAACGCATGTCATTTAAACAAAGGCTGTGTGCCAACATTAATGAAATATACATAGCCTACATTAAAATTATGTTCTGGTTTGAAAAAACTATGGCAAACATAATTGTTTTAATGAAGTCCACAATACCCATAGGAAGTATCTGACACAAGTATACGGCTTTGTGGAGCACTTTGAGTAAGGGATGATGTCATAGCAATATCCTGTACGGAATGAAATATTGGATCTGGCCACTATAGAGAACATCAATTGAGAACATAAAATGCTCCCACCATATAAATTGGCGCTCTTGACGTACATTGATTTCTTCAGAAAACTCACTTTCCCATGAGCACCAATTATCAATTAATTATCAAGTCAAATCAATATAGAAAAATTCATGAGAATATACTTGTTCATATTGGGGACAAAAAAGGTTCTGACAATACTGCCAAATTATTGAGATATTATGATGAAATCTATTTGTCCTCAAGGTTGGGACTACACGTCAAAAAGTGTATGATTCTGGGACATGCCGTTACTTTCTTAATGTAATCCGTTACAGTTACTAGTTACCTGTCCAAAATTGAAATCAGTAATGAACATTTTGGATTACCCAAATTACTTTTGGATTACTTTCCCCTTTAGACACATTAGAAGAAGACACAAAGTATCCATCAAACACATTTGGTGTGTCATCATAGTGGTCTTTGACTTGTGGTCACACTCGCTCAGGTGGAACAAACTTAAACTTGCGCCTTTGTTCAATGCTGAATTGAATGTCATTGAGAGAACAGAAAGGTGTCATAATGTATTTTAAGCAAACATCCTTTCTGAATTTCAAAGTAATCCAATAAGTATTCATCTAGTTTTTCAAAAGTATCTGTAATCTGATTTTTTTTTTTTTTCATGTAATCAGTTACTCCCCTGGGTGTGATAGTAGGTCATCAAGCAATGCCTCAAGCCACTGATTATATCTCTGTCTATAAAAATAACTAATCTATAAAATTGATTTAACCCAGCTGCATACACCAAAGGATCAAGGAGAACACATTTAAGTTATTGCCTTAGGAAGTGAATTGAATGTAAAAGATTGATGCACTGAGGACAAATAGCCTATGTAAGAATGATTAGAAAATGTAAAACACAATAAAACAAGAGTCTGTCCCCAACTGTCAGATAATCTCTGTATAGAGTGAGTTTAGTTTAATACTGATGGAGTAAATACATAGAGCAAGATGAAAGTTCAACTGCACTGAGGGGCCTATTAAACATAAAACATGTTTATTGTCTTAATTCATTGTGATTATTTTGAGAACAAGACAATTATAGTCAAGATTTGTCCATGACTCTAACACTATCTTGATTTAGAATTACGCTGCACACTTTGTGATCCTGTTCGTGCAAACGATTGTTGATTGTTTTTGTCAACATGAGTTAATGCAAACCTTTTCTTTGGGGGCCATGATGCTTGTTATTTCATCTCAGTGTTTTAAGATTTGTTATTTATTTAATTTATTCTTGGCTAACTTTTAAAATGTAATCTAGTCTCCTAAAGATATACAATATGAAAAATATGTGTATAATTGGCCAAACTTAATTTAAAAAGCGCGCTGTTTTAAAATAATGTCAGTTATGTTCAGATTTGGTCTTTTTAGCTTATTGGTTTCTATTGATTTCAATAGAACCCTATGTAGTGTACTGTAAACGTCTGCTCAGTCCGTCCTCCCTAGCCAAGTAAAACTCTGCATAATTCGTGGGGAACTACATTTACATTTTAAATTTTAGTCATTTAGCAGACGCTCTTATCCAGAGCGACTTAAAGTTAAGTGAGTGCATACATTTTTTTTCATATGTTAACGGTTGGCTTGTTTTATGTGATTTCGGAGCTCCAGTTCGCCCACACTTGTCGACGCTCAACTCCGTTGATGTGAAGTACATAGTGGAGTTGAGTTTTACTTGGCTAGTCCTCCCCAGCTTTTTGTGTAGAACCACAAATGGAGCCCTAGCGACTGCTTGAATGTGCTACAATATGTTCAGGCTTGTGAAGCGAGATACTTTCCTAACCTTACATTTTTTTATGTTTTTAAAACACTGTACTATAATTATAAAAAGCTTTGTGGCAGGGTGAATGGTCGGAAGAAATGTGCATGAATAATGTAAAATATACAAAGCTTTTTTTCTCTTTTTAAGGATTGGGGAAATCTGTTCTTAAATGTCAAAACAACAATTCAAGGCTGTGCTAATATAAGAGTTGGTTGTTCCTTGAGGTGTTACCAGTATCACCATGATGGCATGGAGTGAAAAGTGAAACTAAAGGCCCCATCCTCTGACTATGTTGGCAATTTTAAGATCTTTAAATCTGCTTCATCATAGTCCATGGCCTTGGCTACTCAAGGAGGATGTGTAGTACCTCGGCCGACCACGGGTGTGTATAAAGCAGTGGTCAGTATGCCTTTTGTGGTTGCAAGATGGCAGCACCTCTGCCAAATCCCTACGAGTCAGGTAAAGCTCGGTATAGATACGCCTTGATAAGAGTCAAACACGGGGTTGAGTGACTGTTTGGGGTATGAGTTGGGGTGTGAAAGACCAAAAAACGAGACACTTTAAAAGCCAGGACAAATGATGATAATTGTAACACAAAGCCATGAACAGAACAATAGAAAACACTAATGTTCAAACACCAACCGCGCACATCAACCAAACAATTTAATGACCACTCCTATAGGGAGGCCACGAACATACTACAGCATCCACCACTCAGAACAAACGGTCACTGGTAAGTAAAAACTAACAACGTAAACAAAATATTACAGTCAACCAACCAGGGCCAGGGACTTAGTTACTTCCTCCACGACAGGTCTCCATGGCAACACAGTTATCCAGTTGTCCTGTACAGCTCTGCAACAGGATACTTTAATCATAAGCATGACCATCCTGCCGTTAAACCACAAACTATTGTGACCGATCGACCACACACCACTCTTTCTTGATCTTTCCTCACTCAACTACTGTACTGTATTCCTTGCTTTAACTCTCTCTTTCTATCTTTCTCTATTTTGGGTGATTGTTAATACTGTCTGTCTGCAGCTCTGTGGTATAAAATTGTCTTGTGATCTCTGCATCCTCCCTCTCCTTTTCCAAACTCATATCTAATGTAGCGGTTAGTTTCAAGTGAAAGTATTATTTAGTGCTTTTCTGATATTTGTGTGCAATGTCTCCTCTCCCTCCTATGGGACATTTGATGTAAAGGGAACTACTATTAAAACCTACAAAAAGAGTCACAATAAACTCTTGTGGAAAATCTGTGAATCTGTGTCTGTCTTTTTTTCTTGAATGAAGGTATATTTGGAAGTAATGGTGCTATGATGATAATGATTGTGATGATAATGATTACGATGATGACATCAACAAGAAGAATGGACTCACTATACAAGCTTACCCTATGTTGGTGACCTAAGAATCATAAAACAAAACAGGGCTATATGGCTCAACTCATGACCCAATGAAAAGCTGTGCTTCACTCTACATTACATGACAGAGAGACATGAGAGCAATCCTTAATTGTATGTGTGCTTCGCCCTAATGGACAGGCATTAGCTCTTTACCAACAGGTAGGGGTCAGACCCAAAATCAATATATCACATCAAAAACAAACAGCAGTAACACAAATCCCTACCCCCTAGGAGCGAGGAAGACCACTGGAGCAAAGCAAACCCCCCTACCGACCAACCAACCAACCGTGGACAGAAACGTAAGGTTGTTGTTGTAGCTATAATATCTGCTCTCACGTACTGTAGATTCAGAGACACACAGTCTCCTGGCTGTATGGAGGCTGGCTGGTAGGTTAATGGTTAACATAATTTCTGGGTGTGTGATTGGCTATAAAAGGACAATGAGGCCCCAGGGAGAGACAGGCTCCATGGCCTCCAGGGTGACAGGTGTCCCTGACAGGCATACAGTCCAGGCAGACAGGCCCAGCAAGGGGATTTATGACCCCGAGAGAGGAGAGAGGAGAGAGGGAGGAGAGATTGTAGGGAGAGATGTAGAGGACGGAGAGAGAGAGAGACTGAGACGAGGGAGAAGAGATTGGAGCAAGAGACTGAAACCAGAGGAGAGATTGGAGGGAGATAGGGAGACAAGGGAGGAGAGATTCGAGGCTCAGACAGTCACCCTGTTTGTCATGTTGTCACCACTGTGCTTGGTAGGGGAACCAGCCTGGCTTGAGACACATTTTCCCATTAGAGACATGTTGGACAGATTCTTAGGCAATGAGGGTGTGAGAAGCATGACAATGCAATAATTTTACTCTTGCTGAAAATAAAAATGAACCCGAAAAGGTTGAACAAGCAATCAACAATTAACAATGAAACTGATGGAATAAAGAATGAACCAACCAATATGATAGATGGAACCTGGAAGCATTGCACCTGCAGGTGGTCTATAGCCTTCTCAAGGTGACCTTTCTCATGGCAGCATCATTACCAGCACAGCAGCATCGTTAGCAGGTGTCTGTCTGTCTGTCTAGGCCACAAACACACGTTTAGGGGGAGGGGGTTGGAACAGAGTCCTAATGAGTTCGTTAGACGGGGAGATTATCAATGTAACCCTTCCAGATTGACAAACACACACACATGCACACACACATTAATTGTAACCCCTCCAGATGACAGTAATTAACTGGTTGCTGCCCAGGAGCCATATGGGATCATTCTGAGTGCAGAAATGTGCAGTTCTTTGTCACTTGCAATCTACACTGTGTGTGAAAAACATTAAGAACACCTTCCTAATATTGAGTTGCCCTCCCCCACCCCCCAAACCCTTTTGCCCTTAGAACAGCCTCAATTCGTCGGGGCATGGACTCTACATGGTGTCGAAAGCTGGCCCATGTTGACTCCAATGCTTCCTACAGTTGTGTCAAGTTGGCTGGATGTCCTTTGGGTGGAGGACCATTCTTGATACACACGGGAAACTGTTGAGTGTGAAAAACCCAGCAGCGTTGCAGTTCTTGACACAAATTGGTGCACCTGGCACCTACTACCATACGTCGTTCAAAGGCACTTAAATCTTTTGACTTGCCAATTCACCCTCTGAATGGCACACATACACAATCCATGTCTCAATTGTCTCAAGGCTTAAACATCCTTCTTAACCTGTCTCTACACTGATTGAAGTGGATTTAACAAGTGACATCAATAAGGGATCATAGCGTTCACGTGGATTCACCTGGTCAGTCTATGTTTTGTACACTCAGTGTATTTTACTTTATTTATTACACTGAGGGAAAACATAGAATTGCTAAATCTTCAACAGGAGGGTGTTGTAATATTCAGGAATTGAAGAATATTTCATGAATTGAAGACTTCTTATCCCCGAAAAAGCATATGTGTGTGTATTCATCTTTGGGGAGGGTGGGATTACTGTAATATACTGTACACTGCGTCTTTAAAGGCCCAGTGCAGTCAAAATTCAGTTTTCCTTTGTTTTATTTCATATTGTACAACAGCTGATGAAACTAACACTGTAAAACTGTGATTTTTTTCTTGTCAGTGTTATTTCCTGGTTGAAAATAGATTCTACACAGAACCTTCTAATCAGCAGGATTGCATGGGCGGGAGTTTCG